TGGCTGTACTTCCTTCTTTTCTATGTTTGGTGTTCCCATGTGTGTGTGTGTCTCTGTGTCTTTGTGTCTGTGTATGATTTCACATTTTCAGTATGCGTTCATCCATTGATGGGCATTTAGTTTATTTCCATATCTTGGCTGTTGGGACAAAAGATTAGTGTTGGAGACGATGTGGAGAAAAGGGGACCTTCATGCAGTGTTGCTGGGAATGCATATTGGAGCGATCACCGTGGAAAACAGTATGGAATTTCCTTAAGAGATTAAAAACAGAGCTACAATACGATCCAGCAATCCCACTGCTGGGTACATATCCAAAGGAAATGAAGTCAGAATTTTGAAGAGACATCTGCACCCCACGCTTACTCCAAGACATGGAAATCTAGCTAAGACGTGGAACGTTGATACTTCCCCATTCCTCCTTGCATGTGGATTTGCACTGGGTGTCCCTTGACCTTCACCTGGTGAGCCCCAGTCAACCATCCTTGGACATTGCCATTTTCCTTAAAGAAGATGTACCTGCTAAATCCTGGGAGGGTAAAAAATGTGCTCAGTGTTGTGATTCTTAATCCTGTGATTCAGACTTTTCTTTCTGAGTTTCTTTTTTTTTTAATGTTTTTATTTATTTTGAGAGAGAGAGGGAGAGAGATAGAGAGAGAGGGGGAAAGGGACAGGGAGAGAGGAAGAGGGGAGGGGCAGAGGGAGAGAGAGAATTCCAAGCAGGCTCTGTACCTTCAGGACCTACCTGCTCTCAGCCTCTTAGCTGTTACATCTACACAACAGAGAGTGGCATTAGCACCACCGTGGGGTGGTAGGAGGATTCAGCGAGATGAAATGCATATAATAGACCATCGGAGTTTGCGCCCATACGTGGGCAGTGATGGTCACGCCCTCATGGGGTAGACGTAAGGAATTAGTGATGAAGTGCAGGTCATAGTCCATATCACATAGTACATGATCAATAAAGTGTAGCCATTAGAAAGAGTACATATAAAACCCTGTGGAATCATTCACATAATTCTCGCTGCTTTGTTCTAGAGAATGCCAAGTGCTTAGTCAACCGGGGAAACACACATGTGTTTATATCATCTATATGTGTGTCTTGAGTGCAGTTTTTACTTTGGATCAGTATAGCTTGACAGAATTACAGAGATATTAAGGATGGATACTGTTTTTCCCAGCTTCGTCCAGTGTTAACTTTCTGCGTAACCATTGTCAGTTGTCAAGAAATTAACTTTAGGGAGGGGGCGCCTGGGCAGCTCAGTCGGTGTTGCGTCCGACATCAGCTCAGGTCATGAATTCACTGCTCAGGAATTCGAGCCCCACATCAGGTTCTGTATTGACAGCTCAGAGCCTGGAGTCTGCCTCAGATTTTGTCTCCATTTCTCTCTGCCCCTCCTCTGCTCACTTGCTCTTTCTTTCAAAAAAAAAAAAAAAGTAAAAATTTTTAAAAAGAAATTAACCTTGATACATCACTGTTAACTATACATTTTGCACTAAAGCACTTTTCTGTTTTAGAATCCAGTGTGCAATGCCACACTGCATCTAGAAGACAAATTTTTAATCTGGTATTTTGGTCTACCTTCTGATTTATTTATTTTTTGTTAACCAAGGGGGAAAGAAATATATACACTAGATCTTAAACAAAATCTTTGTTATGTAGCAAACTTATTTTGTTCTTAAATTTACAGTGAAGTTCAATGGGCATGATCTAGTCGAAGGATAAACATGAAAATCCCATGAGTTTTATCTACAAAGATAACCTTGAAAGTTCTGTGACCTTGATCTAGGAGAAGGATGGTCATGTGTGTATCCTATCAGCTGGATCCCACAGAAGGAGAAACATGTAAAACTTATTTGATGCTCATATAGAAGGATAGTCATGTGTATATTCTACAAGCTTAATCTTGCAGAAGGATAAACAGATGAAAATCCTATGAGGTTCTGGAAGAATAGCAGGTGCATATTCTTTGAGTTTGAACTTGAAGAAGAATAAGATTTCAGTCTCTGATTTTGATCCAGTAGAATTGATATAAAGAGTTCCATGAGCTTGGTCTAGTACAATAGGTGAAACTTTTACGAGCTTCATCTGGTAAGCATATCCTATGAGTTAAATCTTATAAAAGGATAAACAGATGGAAAATCTCTTGAGTTTAATATAGTAGGATAAGCAAGGGAAAATATTATGAGGTTCATCTAATGGAAGGATAAACAAGTGAAAATTGTCTGAGGTTCACCCGGTAGAAGGATTCACATGTGCATAAGCTGTGAGATCTTGAAGAATGAACAGATGGAATTCTTTGGGCTTCATCTAGTTGACGGGTAAGCGAATTTAAATTCTGTGAGCTTGATCTAGTACAAGGATAAACAGATGAGTTTATGAGCTTGATTTAGTATATGAATAAATGGGTTTAAAATCTAAGATAAGCAGGTGAAAATCCTATTATCTTGATCTGGTAGAAGCGTAAGCAGGTGCACATTCCGGATTTGATCCCGTAGAAGGATAAGCGGGTGCAGTGCTGTGAGCCTGGTCTATTATACGCATAAGCAAGTGACGCTTCTCTGTGCACAGTCTCGTAGAAGGAGAATCGGACTAACTCACACCTTGAGGGTCCTCCTGCAACTCACTCAGCTACCCACTGCTTGAATAAATTATGGCAAATTATTTGAACTTCCCTGTTCTTTGATGTGGTATCTGTGATGCAAGAGTAGCAGTATTTGTCAGATAATTAACTTAAGATCGTGCTGAAAAGATATAATGCGACACTTTTAACTTCTCTTGGAGGCCGTCATTCATAGAAACTGCAATTGATAATGTGAATTTATATGTGTTTACCCTGACATCTGTGCGTATAAAACATTTAGTGCCTGGAGTTTAAAGATCTTGCTTGTAAGAGGAGTTTAGTCTACAGTCATCAGCTACAGTTCATTCTGCAATGGTCAGAATTCAGTGTACAGTCATCAAAAACCAGCATTAAGATGTGAAGCTTTGTTTCAAGCCCTTTAAACTACTGTTTCCCGTAGTCCATTTTTAAACTTAATTTTTAATTTTTTTTTTAATTTTTTAAAATATTTTTTAAAATTTATTTCTGAAAGAAAGAGAGACAGCGTGAGAAGGGGAGGGTCAGAGAGAGGGAGATACAGAATCTGAAACAGGCTCCAGGCTCAGCTGTCAGCACAGAACCCAATGCAGGGCTCAAACCCACAAACCGTGAGATCGTGACCTGAGCTGAAGTCAGATGCTTAACCGACTGAGCCACCCAGGTGCCCCAGTATTTATTTATTTTTGAGATATAGGCCGAGTGAGAGCAGAGCCCCGGAGAGAGAGGAAGACACAGAATCAGAAGCAGGCTCCATGCTCTGAGCCATCAGCACAGAGCCTGATATGGGCCTCGAAACCACAAATCATGAGATTTGTTTGACGCTCAACTCTCTGAGCCAGCAAGGCACCCCAGTTTTTACAATTTAAATGGCACTTCCATCCTTTGTCAACCATGCATCACACTTGGGTTCTGTTCCTACTGCGCATCAGTTTCTCTCTCTACTTGTTCATTTAATTTAACTCTTGACTTCAATATTCTTATAAAGCTTGAAAAAGTATTTTCAAGTAGCTGAACAGCCATTCACTCCCTTCCCTCCAGCCCAACTTCCAGAGGTGATTATTCCTGTAGTGTTAATCAGTTCTCAGGGCGTTTTAAAGCTGTGGGGAACTGCTTCAGGGGGAAGTCGCACATCTGGGTTTGTACCTGTCCGTGTGCTAACTGCATAGCCTCACCCCTCTGGGCTCTCGTGCTGGCATGCCCGTGTCCCTCTGGGGGCGTTAGTTGTAGGCCTGGGAGGGCCTCGTGTCTGCAGAGCCATTCCTGACGGAGCTCACCATTCCATCCTCTCCTCACACCCCTTTCACGCTCTATTTGCTTATGGTCAAGTCACTTCCTTTGGGCGAAGCTCGTTTCTTCACCTAAGTAGTAAGAGCTGTCCTGCTAGTAAAATAATAGCAGTGGTGGAAATGGCCATTTTGGGTGCTCTTCTTCCATTCCAGTCACTGGATGTGACGCTTGGGGTGACTCCATGTAATTCTCAACCTAACGTACTGGGGAAACTGAGGCACCAATGTCTGAGCCACAGAGCTGACATTTCCCTTTCTTGTGGCTGCACTAACAAATACTGTAAATGCAGTGGCTCAAAACAACTCGGGTTGCTTGTCTTATAGTTGTGGGGTTCAGATGCCCAAGATGGATTCTCCCGTGCAATGCTCTGTGTTGGCAGCTGCTCCTTTGTGAAGGCTCCAGGGGAGAATGTGTTTCTGTGTGGTTTCCAGCATCTGCAGGCTCCTGCTTGGCCTGGGCACCTTCGTCCATCTTCAAGGCCACCCGCATACCGCCTTCCAGCCTCTCTCTCACAAAAGATGCGGGGGTTTTATAATGGTGCAACAGTGTCATCAACTAACACACAAGGAACCTAGAGATCACTTCCTGGGAAGTTGGAAATCTGGAAATGTTCAATGGGAGAAAGACCAGTGGACTTATAATGACTGGGAGACCCATCCCACAAGTCCTGTTCCCAGCCTTCCAGAATAATCTCTGGTCTGAGAGATGTCGAGGATTTAGGCATGGACATTTTGGGGTGCCGTTACTTTGTCTACTAATCTGGTGAGAAGTAGAAATGGAATGTCAACTTTGTGACTCCAGGTCATTGAGCTGAGTCCTCTCTTGCTGTGAGAGTTGAGTCTCCCTGACCACAGCCCTAGTTCATGACCCCCGGCCAGTGCTGGCTGCATGCCATCCATAGTAGTGGCCATATTGTATGTGGGTTTTCTCACCCCCAGGTATGCTCTATTGCTCACACGTTTCTCACTAATCCATGTAACTACAGCCCTTATTTCTTCCATATCCCCCGCCCCATGTTGAACATTGAAGAACGTGTTGAAATGAGCTTTAAACCAAGCTTTGAAAAGACATACATCTTCCTCTTGTCTCTTTTTTCTTTCTTTGACATTTTAGGGGGAAAAGCAAACAACTGGGAAGGGGGTATCCGGGTTCCTGGCATTCTTCGGTGGCCAGGAGTGATACAGGCTGGACTAGAGATTGACGAGCCAACGAGCAACATGGACCTGTTTCCGACGGTGGCCGCACTGGCGGGAGCCCCGCTGCCTGAGGACAGGTACTGTGACCCGGAGCCTTTTGCTGTTGTCTCCCTCGCATCCGCCAGGCGAGCGTGTCTGCCTTGCCGGCACGACGGCGCGCTACCTGCCGCTGGACTTGTTACCCACGTCCCGTTATGGGACTTACCAGCGGGGCCACCGGTATAAAAATGCCATCAAGCCCGTTATCCCAGTGGGTAGTCAAGTCTGAGGTGTGGTGTGGTTGCGCAGTCCTTGGTTTTCACGAACCGAGCACTTTGAGCATCCCCCTGACCCTGGCTCTCCCACCGTGCCCTCCGCAGGTAGCTGGCGGCTGCCTCTTTTACACCCCCCACCCCCACACCGTGTTTTTGCTTCCCTCCGGTCCCACTCCACTGCTCTTTTCCGCAGCAGCAAGAAAGGCAGCTGGCTCCCCAGTTAACGGCCCTCCCTCCCAGCGTGCCTTCAGTTAGCTCGTTCTAAATGAAGCGTCTTTCTCTTAAATTTAAATACAACTTCATATGACATTGCCAATGGTTTCTTCTTAAGTGTTATTACCAATCTGAAGAGTTTTAAGAGAAGCACGCTGATTAATTGTTTTCATTAGTTTGGTGGCAGGCCAGGCTAATGTCATGCAGGCGGGCTGCAAATCTTGTTTAAACTCTGCTGCCAGGGGAACCCGGGCAACCAGAGACAGAACCACAGCCCAGCCGGCGCTGAGTCCCAGGATGGGTTTGCCCAGATCCCGTTGCTGTTAAGCTTGTCTCACCGCTCACACTTTCCTTAATGTTTTCAAGCTTGTTGTTTAGGTGTATCTTCCCCACCGCAAACATACACGTGTGCACTATACACAGCTTCGGAGAGCTCAGCCCTTCTCAAACTTTGTGGTCCCAACACCCACTTACTTTCTTGAGTGATTGAGGAACCCAAAGAGGTTTTGTGTACGTGGGTTATGCCCATCCACTTTTATCATATGAGCAATTAAATCAGAAACAAAATTCAGCACATGAGAGCATTTAGCGCACGTTCGATCCTCTGACAGTATGATGCCCTGTCCCGCCATGAGTGCCCTGGAAAATTCCACTGTGCGCTCCTGGAGGAGCTGCAGTGCAAAGTCAGAGAGCGTTTGGTGTTCTCGTGAAAACAGGCTTGACCTCGCAGACGTCTTGGAGGGGTCCCCAGGGGTCTCTGGGCCACTGTTGAGAGCATGTGGCTTAGAGGAGGTTGGGCTCAGACCTGGGCTTCACTGCTGGGTAAGAGTTTAACATAGTGGGCCTGGATTCCTCGCCTGGAATGTGGGGTCAACATCGATGCTGACCTTGCAGGCTCAACGGGCAGACTAAAGTCACAAGGGCATGTGGATATCAGCCATTTTCATTTTTCTCGCCATGTTGTTGTGGGGGAAGTTCATCAGTCCAGTTCTTCCTTATTCCACATTTAATATGCATCTGGGACCACAGAATCCTAAGATTTGAGAGCCGAAGGGGACTTTTAGGATCTACTTTGTCCAAACTACTCTTTTTCTGCCTTAATGACAGATAGAAAACATTGCAGCAGAAAGTCATAAAAAGTCTTTCCTTATGTAGAGCCAGAAATCTCTCTTTCCATCTCATCTACGGATTTGCTCTTGTTCTTACCATTGGCGTAAAACTTAATCTTTCCTTAAGTAGCTCACACAGAGTGTTCAGGTAATTTCATTAATTACATTTTTCTCTCATGGCTCATAATATTAAAATCAGCAGTACTTTTGCTTTCCCACTGTCTTTAAATGGGTTCCCATGCAATTGGGCAAACGCAAGGAACGGACAAGGTCAGAGACGGAGGAAGATCCGTCAAGGGAGATCTTGCTAGTGGCGCCTCCCGCCCACCCCAGTATGAGGCTCACGGAAGTCAGCCTGTTTTCCTTGTACATGCCCATTGAAGAGGGAGGCGACCTCCCTCTTTGGCAGGCTCAAAATATTTTATGTGTGAGCCATGGCACTGGTAAGAGCCCCTCCACAATATTGAAAATTCTTCTCATGGATCTCACTGTTTCACCCAAGTCATTGAGATGATGTCGTCTCCAGGTTGAGGTGTAAGCCTGATAAGATGCCACCATAATCCTAGAGATGGCACAGATGAGAAAACAGAAATCGGCCTCTGGGTCCTTCCTGGAAATACAGCGATCACACGGTACCTTATTTAAATCATGGTGCCAGCCAGGTCCAGAAAACATCCTTGTATATCTCTGCCCTGGAGACTTGGAACATGTAACAGAATGATTCTCTCCGGGCTGACTCTTTCCCACCAGGGGCCATCTATGAATGCCTGGAGATATTGCTGATTGTCTTGACTCAGTGTTACCGGCATCTAATGGTGTCCAGAGGCCAGCGATGCTGCTAAACATCCTACGAGGCACAAGACATCTTCCCACAGCAAAGAATAGCTCAGCCAGATATGTTAATAGTGCTGAGTTTGACAAACCCTGCTTGGAGGCTCCTTATTACTCTTTTATGGAAAATATTGTTAAAATAGATTAACCTCATCAAAACCTTTCAACAAAAGTATTTAGACAGCATTCCCATGTGGATATCCATCGATAAATGATACACAAATATCCACCCTTTAGAAAATAACCTTAACTCTGTCTCACAAAGATTGGTGGAAATCAGCCTCCCCGATTTCTTACTTGAGCAGTAGTAAATTTACATCCCTCAGAACAATTATCAACTCACTTCAAGGTTGAACCCGAGCTGTCTGATGGGACTTAACGAGGTGCCCTCACATCTTTCCCGTGTTTTGTTGGAACAGGAGGATTTCTGTTCAAAAGACCCCCAGCCTTCAGGTACAACCTTGTCATTCTTCAGAAGTATTTTGTGTCTGGTGGCTGGCTTTCCTGACCAATCAGAGCCCAGTAGGAGATGAGAAGCCCTTCAGCGCAGGATTCTTACTTAGGTCAAAAGAGCAGTGGTTCGGGGATACACAGAAGAGGTTTTTGCTTTGCAAGGTCTCAGAGCTACAGAGAGAATCATTCTCTGATTCGCCCCCATGGCGCTGTACGAGATTCCTCTCCACAGTGGATTTGCCTTCACACAGCCTTCAGTGATTCATTTGCATTCCGCCACACAGGTTTATCAAAAGAACTTTTGGTGGCCATTACCCCAGGCGCATTCAGAAAAATCATGCCCCCTGTGTCTCCAAATGAGCTAATTCTGGAAATAAACAGAGGACAGCCTTTGTGTGTGTGTGTGTGTGTGCACGCACACAATATAAAGCATAGGCAATGGGCTTACCTAAGAAGAATACAATAACAAATGCATTAATTCACACAAATGAAGAACCTTCCCATCAGGCACATCTTTGCAAGCAGATAGACCATCACCATAGTCAGTCGGTGACCAAGATCCTGGTTCACAGATGTTGCTAATAAAGAATTGCAACATGCCATAAGCGGCGAAGCCTTTGGTAATGACCTAAATTCTGCCCATAGCCCATTCATCTGGGAGGGAAGAAGAGGGGGTGTTGATGTCTTTGAGAATCAGATTTTGAGGGTGAAATATTTAGGTCTCCTATCGCTAAGTAAAATACATTTAGATCTCCTAAATAAAATTTAGATCTCCCAAATAACATAAAATAAAATTTGACTTTTTTCAAGTTGGGAAAAGAAATCCATGCTTGAACGCTCAATATCATTTTTGTCTAATGAAGACGAGGGAAGTGACTTCATTCTTCCCTTTAATGTTGCTTCCCAGTGGCCAGGTGACTGCGGAAGACTTATTTCAGTAGAGTCCCGCAGTAAAACTAGCTCCCCTGCATTTGGCGGAAGAGGTGAAACTCTTCATGTTGTACAGGTACTCCTGTCTGATCTTGCTTTCTATTTAAATTAGGCAGGGTGCTTAATGTGTACAAATGGAAGCATTTTTTATATTATGAAAATAAGTCTTGTTTCCTTGCAGTTTCCTGTGGTTTATTAAAGGTACACATACTTTCTTTGAAAAAAAAAAAATGTCTCCTTTACTATTATTGTCTACATTGAAGAAATGACTTTATTGTGAATATCACACAGATATCTTACCAACATTGTGCCCAAAAGAACCTCTTTGCCAGTCCCCAAAACCCTGTTTGGTCTGTTCTTCCCCCTCTGCAAAGCTTTCTGCTTTCTTGTGATCCCTAAATCCTCTGAGAGCTGGCAAGGCAGAGTGAATGACATTCAGGCAGAATGAGTGACACCCAGGCAGAGGCAAGGACACCCAGGCAGAGTATGCACTGGTTCACAACTAAAAGGCCAGCACATCCAGGGGGCGAATGAAGTCACTGCAGCCCAAGGAAAGTTTCTGAAAGATGCTCTTTGCAATGATGTGACAATTGTCCCCATGGTATTTAATTTGATGTGACATTCTGAAATCAGCTGCCTGGAAGTGAGTGCTTAAAATCATGACCATTATTGCAGGTCAGGAGCTCATGGACAGTGTTTCTACCTCACTTTCCAAATTAAAAACAATTTCAAAGGAACACATCTTTCGGAGAATCAAGCGGATGCTACAAAGGACCTCATGCAGTTTCGTTGCAGTGACTGTCTGTGCACACTTGCTATGAAAACTTGAATTCACCGGCTGAGGAGTCCCAATTAAGAGGCTTCTCAATAGAAAAGAGCAACACTTCATGTCACTCTGAGAATGTCTCGTCCCCATTTTCCCACACATGGTGATGTTACGGAAACATTTCCGCCCGGGCTGCATCAGGGGAAATGTGCTGTCTCTGGGTTATTGCCACGGCTAACAGCGACTCTCACGTGCCATTTAAAACAATCGCAAGTGTTTTGATAGCTCCGACGCCATTTGAAAGTTGAACGCAGTGGGGTCGCTTCTGATGTTTCATGGCAGAAATGAGCCTCTCTCTGACAAGCCATCTTTCTGTAGCACTCTTAAACGGTGGCTTTCACAGCGTTGTGATTTATTGTGCGCTTCTAGGTAGGAGCGTGTTTTAGGATATTAAACAAAGAAAGCAATGAGATCTCTCTCTACATCCAAAGAAAAAGGGGATAGAGGTAGATGTTATGCCCCAGGAATGGATGTTTGGTCTCCATCCCTAGCAGTCCAGGAAAGCCCTGCTCTGCATGTTAGGTGGAGGTGCAGGGAAGGGGTCATGTCCCCCTGTGTCCCCTCCTGCTGGTCATTTTCCACCACTGGGGGCTTCTGTTGAGGTGCTGACAGCAGCACACCGCATCTCATCCCTTCCTTTCTTAACACCCTGTTCAGGATTGCATATTGGTAAGGACTGCGCCTTTCTCCGAAAGGATTTGGAAAGACCCAGGTATAATCACTGCCATTTCAGGATAGAAATAGTATTTCAGAGAGCGTGCAGATTCTGAATAGAAGCGTGTCTCTACCTTTTCTCTCCTCCTCCTGGGGACAAGGACCAAGTCTGCCTTTTGTTCTTATTCTTAACTCATGATAATAGAATATTTTCATTCCATGGGCTTGCATGGAGCACGTGATTAATAATGAGGGTTGAGGCCGGAGAAATGCTAAGCAACGAGACTATAATTATATTACTAGGGTTTTAGTGACACCAAATAAGCCACACACGAAGCTCAGTGGACACAGGGCCTTTCAAGAACGCTAACCTAATATAGAACCAGGTTCGACTTCCAGCTTCTGAATTCCTCCTAATAAGGGATGACAGGGATGGAGTGATTTTCACCGGAGAAAGACCATCCTCAGCTGAGACTATCGAACATTGCAGAGTAGCTCTCTGCCCCTTGTTTTGATGGTCTGGCCCTAATGGTGTCAATGACTTGAGGTGCTCTAGTGGCTGTTGATGTATGTTTAACGCAAGACAAAACGTCAGGCTTTTTCCCTTTATTTTAAATGCCAAATAATCTTATTTTGCTCATAACCAGTTGTATGTCATCAATTGTTTGCAGTCAGGAAAGTTCCTCTTGGTCCAGTTAGATAGCCAGTTATAGAAGAGGTACTTGTATCTGGGAACATGCATCCAAAGGGTTTATAGTATCATCAGCACTATTATTCATTTACAAATGAATTCATTCTGATTTAGAAATGTGCCTCCATTGATGTCTGTCAATCCAAGCTGCTCTCACAGTAAATATTACCTTTTCATAACACAAATCGTTAGATACTCTTATTTTCACTAGAGCTATACTTTGGGAATAAAGTTTTCTGTGTGCCAAGGCAACAGGCAGAAGTTGGGCTTAGGATGAGCAGCAGGGGGAGCAGTTGAGAGCACGGATACCCAATCAGCTGGGTTCCCATCCAGTGGGCTGGTTCAAGCCACATGACCTTGGACTTGCACTTTCTGGCCAGTGTTTCCTCAACCCATCACGATGGGATGATAATGGTCCCAACTCCTCATGCAACTTAGAGGATTGAGTGAGTTGATACGAGAGCAGAATTGGCCCCGGGAAATTGCATATGGCGCCCGACAGGGGTCAGTGAGTGTTCTTTGTGTTGGTTGCTTAATTATGACCAGGTGAGTCTGTCATGCTCTCATTTGCTGGAAAGGCAGCTCAAAAGTTGTGGTGGTTTTGGATGATGTGGCCATTCACCACCTGATGCCTGGCTTCGATGTGTCCCACAGAATCATTGACGGACGTGACCTGATGCCCCTGGTTCAAGGGAGAACAGAGCACTCCGATCACGAGTTTCTCTTCCATTACTGCAACTTCTACTTAAATGCCGTGCGCTGGCACCCTCGGAACAGTGAGTAACACAGACCTTCCCCTGCTTCTGGTTGGCTTGTGATCGGGGCCATGCAAGTCGGTGAAATGGCAAGAGGGCTTTGCTCCGCATGCGGCCAGGGGGTGCCCACCCCTGTGGCCATGCTTTGTTTGCAGCTCATGCTCCTCCTGTGTTTCTCTTGTTCCCTGGGGTCCCGTTGTTGTGCAGGCGCGACAGTGTGACCCAGGCACTCACTCCTGAGCCACTCTGACTCCCAGGCAGAGGAAGCCCCAGGTGGCAGCTCCCTTTCTTTGTGCCCCGCTGGCTGCCACCTTCCTGCTCCTTGTGACTCCGGGTCTCAGCCCCCATGCTCCCTGCAGGCATGTGATTCGTGTCTGCAGCTTCCTGTGCCCAGAAGGACTCTCCTTCTCTGGCCTTCTCCGTGCTCCCCAAAGCCCACTGAAGACCACCCTCATGCCTACCGTCCCAGCACTTGGCACCCGCGGTAGCTTTGCGCTGTCACGTAGAATGGCGTCTATGTGGGCACGTGACCCTCGTGCAGAGTGGCGTTGACACGGTCACACGGCCGTCACGCACAATGGCGCTGATGTGGTCACACGAAGCTCTCTCCAAAGCCTCAGAGATGACGGGTCCTGAGCTGGATTTAGTCCAGACGCTCTGATGTCATCGTACGTGCCAAACTGGGTGTCGTTTAAACTGTGCCCTGGACCCGAAAGTCGGGTTTTCTGATGCCGGTTTTTGAGTTGTCTTTGTAGCGGGCGTGAAGGAGCAGAGTGGTCGTCCTAAGTGCAGGGACGGGCTTCAGCTGTCTCTCTGTATCTTTAATGTTTGAATCACAGTGATGTCCGCAGCCCTAAGGTGCACGGAGTCCGGAAAGCTGGCAACTGACTGGGCCAGTATTGTCCGTGCAGGGGAGGGGTGTTGAGGGCAGGCCACCCGTTCCATCTTCAGAGCTGAAGGAAGACTCCCATTTCTCTGTTGCCCCTTGGGTCCTGCTCCTGGACGCTACGCTCTGCGGGGACCTCCCACCCGATGGCTCGTTCCTGATCTCCGTGATTCCCACACTGGTTTTCAACACCACACACTCCCCACCCCCTCACCCCGCCCATTTACCAAAGGCTTATTTAAAGAGCAGCGTCTGCATGGTTTTTCAAGTGGAAGATCACAAGCCTCCCATTAGCCACAGAAATGACAGCAGGTTCACCCCCAGAGTATCTAGTGTAACTCCGGACCCCTTCCTTGCAATGTTTTCTGGGAGATACGGAAGAGAGAAACGTGAGTTTAGGATTCTAGACCTGGGACAGTTCTGTTTCCCTCTCCCGTCGCCGTGTCTGTGACTCCAAATCTCGATGGGGACACGGTGGCTTCTTTAGATTAATTCACACTTTGAGGTGTGAGTCATCCAGTGAATGAGAGCTCTACTCCTTCCCACTTCTGGGGACAGGAAGCCTGCGAGGACTGTGGCTCTCCACTGAGTAAGGAAGCGCGACATCCTGTCTGGAACTTTGGATAAGTGCACTGACACAGCGCCAGCCCCCCACCCGCACCCCCAGGCAGAGAACGGAAGGGACAGATTGGACCAGGGGCTGGGGAAACACACTCTGTGGAGGAGGAAAGACAAAGGGGACAGAGGGAGCCAGAAAAGAGGAGTAGGTGAGAAAAACAAGACCCAGATTCCGAGAGGGAGCTGGCCCTCGGATGAAATTCGCTTCCCAGACACACACAAGTGACATTCCCTCCTGTGCGCTCCCTGAAGGCTGCTGCCCCAAACGGTCAACAGGAAAGCAGGTATTACAACGTTAGTGCTGGACACATCTGTGCCGCTCAGGGCTGCGCACACCATGGATTTTTGAGTCCTCTCCTACTTCCTCTAGGTGACACCTGAAACTCGGTAACGATGTTTGTGTGGCACCGTCGCACGTGGCTTTGTGGGTGACTATTTGCTACTTCATCTGTCTATTAATTCAGCCAGTATTTTTCAGCACCTACTATGTGACATCCAGTGTGCTAGAATAGTATCTGTCAGCGAGTATGACACACCAGATTCCCTGCCTGTGACACCTTAGACCATGCTGTGCGGCGGGCACTCTCATGTGCCTTGACCACAGAGGTGAGAAGGGAGTGTGTGACTCTCACCTGCCTGCAGTTACCTGTCAACCAGAGGAGACAAAGGCAACTAGTGCCAGCCGGGTGGGTCAGCCTCACTCCGCGCAGCTCTCCTTTGGTAGGAGATGGTTCGCGATTGCTGGGCTCCCTAATTCTTAGAGAACGGAGGTCGCAGTCTGAGCTCGGAAGACTTTATTAGAGAAGAAAAGAGAAATGTAGGATCAGGATTTAGTCACAGCAGGGCCATGCCGGAGCCAGCCCCTGGGAGGTCGGGAACCTTTCCGGCGCGCCGTTAAACCGTGGCTAACATGAGCTCAGCCGCACCGGGAGTATTTGCACTCCAGGAATCCGCAGGCACAGACGACCCTGGCTTTCTCCCTCTCTCACAGAGGAAGCAAGCCTCCCAGCCACCCTCTGGCTCCAGAAAATGACCACGGATGTTTTTAACGTCCAATGTCCATTTGTCCTGATTCATTGGAGGCCTGCGTATTGCAATTCCAGACTTATTAAGTACTTATTTTGCAAACACTGAGAGCTAGAATTCCATTTCCTTCCTTTTGAAATACGAATCCCGTTCAACTGTTACACGCAATGTCTTTTCTGTAATTCACTAATTCCATAATTATAATAATTCTATAATTTAGTTGTCTCAGCAAGTTGAACGGCATAATTAAATCATGAGCTAATATCATTACTCCCATTACACTGTAAAAGGACTCACAAAAGCATTATTATAACGTGCATCGCCTTTCTTACATTAAAATGGGAATTTTGAATTAAAATGTCCTGTGCAAAGTGTATTATAAGCCTTGCCTTTAAGTTAGGGTGTGTGAGTTGATGGGAATTAAAAATTCGGTGCAATGGCAGCTTGATTTTATGGATAAAATTTATCTTAGGATGTAGGTAGACACTTGGCTTCAGGGTCCAGTCACAGATTTCTGAGCTTATGAATCCAGTGTATAAACTCCACACTCGTGTTAATGGCTAAGTACCCTGTAGTGTGACCATGTAGTCACACAGAAATCCATGGGATGTGCTCATCCCGAGGCTCAGCGCAAAGGGCCTCACAAATCTGGCTACTGGGTTTTTTGGTTTGTTTTTATTTTGAGAGAGAGAGAGCAAGCTTAAGGGGCAGAGAGAAAGAGACGGAGAGAGAAGCCCGCTTAAGCAGGCTCCGCACTGTCAGCCCAGAGACTAACACAGAACTTGATCTCATGAACCATGAGATTATGACCTGAGCTGAGGTCAAGAGTCAGACACTTAACCGACTGAGCTACCCAGGTGCCCCACCAGCTACTTTTTCATTTCAAATTTGTTTGAAACCTTTTTTCTGTGATTAAAAAAAAAAACAAAAAAACAAACTTAAAAAGAAATCACAACAAAACCCTGTAGGATAATAGAATTGATTCTAAACACATGTGTTTGTATCCAGAAGGTACCTTCTTTCGAAATAGGAGAGAAGGAAGGTTTATTTTTTTTCAATTATGTAATCTTGTTTATTATTGTAATCTTTGTAATGAATATGCAGATCTCGTGAACTCCTTTCTGTTTGGTGTGCCTGTAAAAGAGAGAAAGTTTAAAATCAAACCAGCATTGCTGTGGTAGGTAAAGCATAATGCTTGCTTTGCTGACTGTCTCAAGTTTTCACACACTTTAGAAATGAAATTTGCCTCTAACGCACATCTAAGAGAATGTTCTACACGCAGCTGCTTGTGCCTCGTGGGTTGATGGTTAACCTGCACAATAAAGCTGTGCTTGGCTTTCGTCGTCATTAGTCATTCCGTGGGATGCCCTTCCTGGCCTGATTGCTGGGAATGGGATTTGAGGGATCGGGAAGGAAATATGCAGGTTGAAACCGTGGCAACATGGGCTGCAGTATCTGCGGTGCAAGCCTGGTTCAGACTTGTCTGTGGTTCAGCGAACCTCCTGGCCCCAGACCGTCAGTCATGTTGCAGGCGGATAGACCATGGCAGGGAGACATTGAAGCCTGAGGGTTCCCTTTTCCCCTGTGAATACCGCCACCAAATGCCACGACGCACCCTCTGGGCTTGTGGGCACACACGTGGGCGTGGCCCCACCTGCCTCCTGGGCGCACCAGCAGGGACGGGACGCAGATGGACTAACGGCTCAGGCTACGTGTCCCCGAACGCACGGATTCCACTTAGGCAGCTGGGGAGAAGTGACACAGAGGATGGAGAAGGCTTTCCTGAAAGTGTGAGACTTTCATTTCATTTATTTTATCTCATTAGCGCTCAGGCTCTCAGCAACGGGCTGCACTTCCCGGCTGTGCGTTTCCCTTAATGGGGGAAAAAAAAAACCCTCATAAATGGATTTCGTTTTCTTCAACGTAGTCCATTAAATGTGTGCTTTCATACAGCACTTTATATTACCTTATATTAGACAGTATTAGGCAGGTTTTAAAATAGACAACCAGAGACGCCCGGCGGGCCCGGTTGAGAGCATGCAACTCTTGATCTCGGGGTTGTGAGTTCGAGCCCCAAGTTGGGTGCTGAGATCACTTAACAATAAAATCTTTAGAACAGACATCCACTTTTCTGCTAAAGGTTTCGTCAGCCTGACCTAACATTTCATTAATACCGTGGATGAAAAACATACCAGCTGTGACTTTGGTTAATTTGTCACAATGCAAACTTACTTCCTTATGAAGACAGAATAAATCCACGTTACGTTTTCTTTCTTGAATACCGAAACACAGTGTTTGGGATGTTCAAAGACATGCTTGGATCTTAGTTCAGAAGCTGGCTTGTTCTCATCTTACCAGACGGCCTGTCTTCCGCCCCTTTCGCCCTGCATACTGGGTCCCGCCGTTTCATTGTCTATAGTTCCGTGCCTCCTTTTTCTCTGACTTGAGCACGAGGTGTATCTCACTTCTCTGGGTGTGGCTGCTTATGTCT